CTGATGGGAACACTTTACTTGTTCTCTCATTCATTTATCAGTTAAATAAATCTTTGGCATGTATTCATCTTATATCTGTATGAGCGCCATGATTACAACTTTTTAGAAAAATTATGATTTAGCATGTCTGTGTTCTTAATGAATGTAAATGACAAAATAGGATTTTATTGAAGAAAGATCCTTGTTTCTAGTTTTTTAAGTGAAATAAAACTATGATAGTTAATAATAATTATTTGAATTTTTTAAAAGTAAACCTTTATGAATGATAAAAAGTAAATTTTCTCTTATTGATTATAAGGAATATAATGTCATACACTCTCCATCAGAAGTAGAGTTGAAATTTCTTTATATCACAGATCACAAGGAGAAACAACACAAGCAGGCCAACACTGGCATGCAAAGTGATTCTAGGATACATGGTTGTGTAAAATTGACCCCCTTTCTGGTTCAGAGGACATATCTGGCAAATCCAGCCTCAACAGATTTGAAAAGACCTGTGTGGTGCAAGTGCTTTTAATTCTGTCTGACATCCTGAGAGATTGTGAAGCTGCCACACTGTCAGTTTGATGCATATATATTTAAATTACTACATTTCACTAATGATTAGGAGATTTTTAACCAGTATACTATGCTGCATCCCAATTATTCATCTGGGGTGTGTGTGTGTGTGTGTGTGTGTGTGTGTGTGTGTTTGTGTGTGTGTGCGTGGTTTCAGAGGCAGGATCTTAATCTACCACCCAGGCTGGAGTACAGTGATAAGATCATAGCTCAATGCAGCCTCAAACTCCTGGGCTCAATCAATCCTCCTGCCTCAGCCTCCTGAAGAACTGAGACTATAGGTGTTTGTCACTATGCTTGGCAAGTTTTTTTATTTTTTTAGAGACAGAGTTTCACTATATTGCCCAGGCTAGTTTTGAATTCCTGGCCTCTAGCAATCTTCCTGCCTCGACTTCCCAAAATTCTAAGATTTCAGGCATGAACCATCAGCCTTGTCCTAGTAATGTGATATTGTAAATGGATTAACTTCTATACAAAAAATTATGATAATCAAGATTTGGAAGTACTTGAATTTGATAAGCTATTTTAAATTATACAGTTTTAAAATGAATGTTAATATGATCCAAAAACAGATTTCTATGAGTAAAATTATTCCCACCTTGAGTTATCAAGTATCTTAGATGTAAAGAGCATGTAATATTTTTAAAAATTTAATTATCAGAGCTATTTTGAGGACAAAGAAATGTAGGCAATTACAAAATATTTCATTTTTTATTTGGTCAAAACTACAAATCTTAGCCAAAAAATACATTAAAAATAGAAAATATAGAATAAAATCTCCATTTTAGCTTTACTCTTAGAGAAGACCACATCATCTGTGTAGTTTTCATTCAGATCTAAACAAAATTGTCTAATTTCATGCGGTTATGATTCTGTCTCATTATAAAACTAGATGAAGAAAAGAGACTTTGATCTGCAAAGAGCTGTTCAGACTTTAGTAAGAAATGTTAAGTATATTAAAAATATAAACACTATGGTTTATTTGAGCTTTATTGTGTACTAAATAAAAGTAAATGTTTGTTACCTCAGTTTTAGCTTCAATGCTTCTAACATTTATAAATACTGTTTTTATTTGTTTGCCGATTCTACTAACATGAAGAAAAAAAAAGTGAAATAAAAGCCTAAGTGAGAAAAAACAAGACTCTCATTTTCTGGCTCACATTCTAAACATGTTCTCAACGGAGAAGAGTTTAAGTACATACATATTTTTCTAACAAATAAATGGACTGTCTGTGAGAAAAGGCAACTAAGTTAATAAGTTAATAGTTTCCTAATTAGGACCTTGCAGTTTTACTGTAAAGAACAGTCATCTGTTGGCTTCAGAAAGATCTAAAATTAGCCGGGCCCAGTGGCTCATGTTTGTAATCCCAGCACTTTGGGAAGCCTAGGTGGGCTAATCACCTGAGGTCGGAAGTTCAAGACTAGCATGAACAACATGGAGAAATTCTGTCCTACTAAAAATACAAAATTAGCCAGGTGTGGTGACGCACGCCTGTGATCCCAGCTACTCAAGAAACTAAGGCAGGAGAATTGCTTGAACCCAGGAGGTGGAAGCTGTAGTGAGCTGAGATCGCACCACTGTGCTCCAGCCTGGGCAACAAGAGCAAAACTTTGTTTCAAAAAACGAAAAAAGAAAGAAAGAGCTAAAATCTAAGTATAAGCCAATAATAAATGAAAATACGATATAATACTGAACCCCTAAGAAAGACAGTTCACATGTTTTACAAAACTCAAACTGAAAGTCAGTAATGGATCACATAAACTGGAAAGATTTTATATATTTTATTTCAGACAAAAAGTTATTCTTGAGAGTAGATGAATAAGCGAGACATAAACCTATAACTAAAAGTTTTCTCTTTACCTATTTTATATGAAATTGGAAATTTTAAGCAAAATTAGGATTTTTTTATGATGCATGCAGTTACTCCCTAGAAAGAAAGTTGGAAAAGACACTTCCAGCAGAGATTCTTGGCACTTAAGATGCTTATGAATCAAATGGAGATCATGTTAGGATGCCGATTTTGATTATTTGGGTCTGGGCTGAGCAGCAAGATTTTGTATTTCTTACAAGACCCCTGATGATGGCAGTGTAGTCAGAGGACCACAGGCTGAGGAATAATATCCTTTAAGTACTTTAAGTGAAAAGGCACAAATTCTCAACCTTCTTGCCACTTTGAGCATTTACACTTGTGTACAACATGTACATTTACATTGAACATTGGTTTTTATGGAGAAAATAATCCTATTTTTCTTGGATAAGAACTACAAAATTAGAAGACTTATTCTAAAGTTCTATCATCAGTAGGCAGCCCATGTCTTGGTCTAGCACCTCAGTACTTTCCAGGAAGGAACATGGGATTAGACCTAGACAGGACATATTCCAAGACGCATCAAGCATCACTCTTGTGGAGGTGGCCCATCACCCATAGATCCACTGTTAAATGAGGAATGCTGAACCAAGAGCTTGGGCAACCGCAAAATCCTCTTATGCAGCTTTATTGTTGTACACCTTGAACATTGTCTCTTCCTCCTCTTGGACAACATTAATTTTTTTAATGTATTCCACTCAATTTCTGCATCAATTTTATTAAATTGAAATTTAGAATTAGTGTTTCAACCCTCCAATTTTTTTGCCCCATATATTTTGACTTTTCTAATCTAAATTTGGAAAATCTATATAGTATCTTCCTTTTTTTAGGCTTTTTCTTAATTTAATTTTTAATTGATAGACTATATATATATATATATATATATGGAATTCATATAATTTATAAAGATCATTGTAGTGTAATTGGGATATCCTTCACCTTAAATATTTGCCTTCTCTTTATGCTAGAAACATTCAAAATATTTTCTTCTACCTATTTTGAAATATACAATAGATTATTATAAATTATAGCAGCCTACTGAACTAACACTAGGTCTTATTTCTTCTATTATATTGTATGTTTATACACATTCATCAACCTTTCTTCATCCTTCCCTCCACACTACCCTTCCAGGCTCCTGGTAACCACCAATCTATTCTCCATCTTCACAAGATCCACTTTTTTAGTTTCCACATGTAAATGAGAACATGCAACATTTGTCTTTCCTTACTTGGCTTATTTCACTTCAGATAATGACCTCCAGTTCCATCCATGTTGCTGCAAATGACAGGATTTCATTCTTTTTTTATGGTTGAATAATATTCCATTGTGTATCTAAACCACATTTTCTTTTCCATTCATCAATTAATGGGCACTTAGGTTGATTTCAAATTCGGCTATTGTTAAGAGCGCCACAATAAACATGGGAGTGCACATACCCCTTCAATATTGACTTCGTTTCTTTTGGGTATATACCTAGCAGTGGGATTGCTGGATTATATGGTACTTCCGTTTTTCATTTCTTGAGAAATCTCTTTATAGCTTTCCATACTAATTTACATTTTTTCTTTCCTTTTGTTATTCCTTCTCCATGTGCCTTTAGCAAAGCTATAACCAGGTTCAAATAAGTATGCAAACCAGAGATGTTAGAGCCTTAAAGGGGTGCTAAGCACTCTGATTTTCCTCTCCAAGTGATACTTGGAAGCAAGTGAGAGTTCAAGTATGGGTACACTGTTCTGAATAAATGGCCTAGACTACATAGCACATTCAGGGGGACACTTAGAATGCTTTTAAATGGATTCACACATGTAAGAATTTTTTGAGAAATAGATTCTGTCCTGTGGAGAAGTTATATTCAAATTAAATTTGTAGTACCTATGTGCTGTGTGGTACCACAAAACTGTTCCTTCCACCCACAGTGGATTCGGATAGCTAATTTAGTGGCCTTGGTGGTCTGGCTTCAGACCAAGTTTTATGGACTATGCCCACTGGTTTCTCTGAGAGTTCCCAAATAATTTGCCATCAGTCCAAAGTTCTGTGACACAGAACACCCTTGGATATCTCCAAAAATAATAAATCCAGAAGTCAAAAAAGTTTCCAAGTGAAATCTACCATATATTTAGTCGTTGGGATAGCCCTTTGCATAATGGCATGCATGAATATCATCCCTGATGACCACTTGTCCATGAATGGATGCATACCTGGTATATGTTGTTCTTTTAAAAAGAACAATGGTTGTGTCTTTTTTTTGTGCACACACCCATGTAAACCATATGATTCTCATTTATTTGGATATCAACAAATGTTTGTGTATGAAAATATATATTAGTACCAGGTTTGTGCAGTTTTACCTTCATGTTCAGGATCACTGCAATGATATGCAGTATCTCTCTACCAATGAGGACCAAAAACTATTTTGCTAACATATTACTTATTATCTTTTTTTGTGGACATGACCATTGAAAACATACAGACTAGAAACCCTACAGGTAGATGGAGAAAGCCCAAGTGAGTGCTTCATCCTGTATCATAGACTGATTTCAGACTGTATTAGAAGACAGCCTTAAAACTCACTTCTTCCATGTAGTTTTTCAGTGAGTATCCTCCTCCACTTGAGGCTTCTCCCTAGTGGTAAAGAGGAAAAGAAGTTGAAAAGGTCAGGAGAAGGAGAGAAAAAGAATGAAAGAATCCTGGAGAGTGAGATCTGAAAGCAACACCAAAGATTTGCTATTCTCCCACCTTCTCAGTTGATATTTGTGGAATTGTTAGTTTGCCAACTTCTTACTCTTTGAAAAAGATAAGATTTTTTGCAAAACAACAATATATCAAGTGGATCCTTTTAAAATATATTTTGAAAAACAGCAATATGTTTTTCAAGTGGATCTTTTTAAAATATATTTTATTTTATTTTAAGTTTCAGAATACATGTGTAGGACCTGCAGGTTTGTTACATAGGTAAACGTAAGCTGTGATGGTTTGCTGTACGTATCAACCCATCACCTATGTATTAAGCCTTGCATGCATTAGCTATTTATCCTGATGCTCTTCTGCCCTCCGCCCCCCTAACAGGTCCCAGTGTCTGTTATTCCCCTCCCTAGTTCCATGTGTTTTCATTGCTCAGTTCTTACTTATAAGTGAGAACATGTCATGTTTGGTTTTCTGTTCCTGTGTTAGTTTGCTGAGGATAATGGCTTCCAGGTCCATCCATGTCCCTGCATAAAACATGATCTCATGTTGATCTTAATTCATGCTAACAAATGAGCAGCTAGAGTAACTAACTAAATCTTGGAACAGAATGCTAAACACATTGAATAACATTTTTCGTTATTGATGTTATAAATATAGTCTTAGATTAAGAAAAGAAGTCACAGATTCTGTATCTATAAATTTGTGTAAAGACCTAATACATAGACTTCAAAATATTTTTTTAGATAGAGGACAGACCATTGACCTTTATATCTAGTGTTTACATTAAGTCTTTCTTAACTTATTAGTATGTAATTAGTAAATTCTCTGTCATTTGTGTCTTTGCTATCACTTCACTAAGCACTAGTAATCACAGATTCAAATCACTGAAATTTATAAAATCAAATTAAACATATATCCCAAACTCATCTAAACATTGGTGGTCAAAATTGTCAAACAACTTGGTGTTTTGGATAAGTTATACCTTTTTATACTCCACGATGAGAGACATTTGAAAACAAATTCTGAAATATCATGAAATGATAAATTCTAGGGCACCATATGCGTTTAAAAGATAAATAAATGTGCCTAAAGCTTACACTTGTTTCAACAGAATCTTTTTAACATTCCAAAGACCAACACACATATTATCTCATTGAGGCCAAGACAATCTCAGGCCAATTTGATACTTAGGGAAATTGAAGCCAAGAGGGGTAGAGTGACGTGCCCTAAGTCAAGGAGCAAGCGAAAGAATTGCTTGGACAGGATTCTTGTCCAACACTCTTTTTTTTTTTTTCTGGGCTCACTGCAACCTCTGCCTCTGGGTTCAAGCGATTCTCCTTCCTCAGGTTCCCAAGTAACTAGGACTACAGACATGCGCCACTATGCCCAGCTAATTTATTTTATTTTTTTAGTGGAGACAGGGTTTCATCACGTTGGTCAGGGTGGTCTTGAACTCCTTACTTCAGGTAATCTGCCTGCCTTGGCCTCCCAAGGTTCTGGAATTACAGGTGTGAGCCACCGCTCCCAGCCTAGTCTAACACTCATCTATGTCACTGAAATACAACAATTTAAAACATACAAAATTAAATTCATTTTAATTTTTTAAAAAATTGTGATGTATTCTTGCAAGCAGTTGGGGAAGAGAAGAGGAGGCATGCTCATGTCAAACAAAAATTGAGCCAGAAATAAAATGCTGGTATTCCCCACACCTTAGAAATCACAGGTTAAATCACAAAGGTGGTAATATTTCTTTCTAAATCACATTTCCACTAACAAAACATTAATATGCCATAGTTTAAATGTTTCTAAATGCTTCCAAGCTTGCAGGATTTTCAGTAGATAAGATAGTGAAAGAGATGAGATAGTTCTATTTGTTTAAAGCATGAAGTTTTGGGAAAAATTAAGTTCATATAAATCCCTCCAACTGTGAGGAATATTAAGTTGAAGGATGCAGAGAAAGCTAAGAACTTACTTCAGATAAACTGTTTCTTAGAGGCAAACTTGCCACACTGTCTCCCCCTCATTCAGACAACTAATCTGGGAGTGCTGTGGGCTGTTCCCACATAGCTCTTCCACGACAGAACCAGCCATTTGTGTACTAATCATCCTTTCTCATTTGCCTGGGTGGTTACGGGTAAGAGGACAATGTGGCATATTGCTCCAAGTTACAGTTGTGCTTTCTGGAGCAGCCAGTGTGGGAGGCTTGCCTGGCTGGCTTCTGCACATTTGAGGGCTAACAGTGAGAGGATGGCGGAGAGCAGTTTCTGGGAGCTCACTAAAGACGGCAATGTGTTTCCTTGCAGCTGGAGTGTATGTTTTTTCTCATTTGTCTAGACATTTGCAGTCTTCTGCTAAGACTTGGTGATGACTGTGGGTTTTGTTAATGATCGAATATAAATAAAGCAAGCTTCTTGACAGCCTTGCATCTTTCCTTAGCGTCAGTGTCATATCTACACCACAGGAAAGGAGGAACCTACACAACACCATTTGTTTCAAGGGCCATACAACCAGAGTTTGTTGTACTGCCATTCACGAAATGGGTGACACCAATGAATGAGGAACATAAAGTAAGAGACTCTCGGAGGGGCTGGTGCAGTGGTTCGTGCCTGTAATCCCAGCACTTTGGGAGGCTGAGGCGGGCAAATCACTTGAGGTCAAGAGTTCGAGACCAGCCTGGCCAATATGGTGATACCCCGTCTCTACTAAAAATACAAAAATTAGCCAGGCATGGTGGTGTGCCTATAATCCCACCTACTTGGGAGGCTGAGGCATGAGAATTGTTTGAACCTTGGGAGGTGGAAGTTGCAGTGAGCTGAGACTGCACCACTGCACTCCAGCCTGGGCGATGGAGCAAGACTCCGTCGCAAAAGAAAAACATAAAAATAAAGAGTCTTGGAGGAAAATACAGAGGAAACTAACAGTTTGAAGAATGCAAGTGTGGTACAAGGCCAAGTGGACAAAAGAAAGAATAAGGCATCAGGATCTCTGATTCATAGGATCAGAAGAGATGGCCCCAGTCAAGAGGCTTGATCCAATACATCTACCTCAGGTTCCCCATTTCCAACACCAGACCAGTGAAATGCCAGCATTCCCTCCTTCGTCCTGCTGGGAGTGCTGATGAAATAAAATCCCCTTCAAAGCACAAAGCTATCAGTTTCTGTTGTCCTTTTCTTAATTTTAAAGAATTGACATTTTAAATATCAAGACATTCTAACAACATAACATTTTGGTAATGAATGAAAAATGCCATAATGCAATTTCCCTTGAAAAAGAGGGGAGAGGATACAAGGAGAGGCAGGCAGGGGCATGTGAAGGAGGAAAAGGAAAGAACACATGGAAATTATGTCTTCGAAAAAAAAGAAACAAGAAAAGATATTTCCTGAAATGTGGTTTTAGTTATTGTAAATATTTAATATAGCCATTGTCGAGATAAGTGTTTAAAGAAAAATTAGAAAATATTAGTATGTTGTAAACTCAGAGAAAAGGGGACAAAGAGGCTGATGTGATTACTGCTTTACATATGGCGTGGGATGATGGCTGTCAGAGATCAGGCTCTTGTCATTCCTCTGGTTATTTTATAGTTAAGGAAACATTCTCAGTGAGATGGAAAATCGTAGAGTGAGGGAGGACTAGACCCACGCTGTCCTCAATCCATTGCCATTGTTATACCATGCTTCTTTTGTTTCAATCAATAAGTATTTTCTGCTTATCTTTTACTAATCCTTAGACAAAATGCAAACAGACCGGCACTTGTGTGTCAGGTACATTTATTCACAAACATTATACGTCTAAGACCTATGAAGTTAATTTTCTTTAAAAAATTCCATGAGAACCCTACCTCTACCAGCATAATTTTTCTTCTCATCTTTTCCCAAGGAAATGAAATAATAATTCTAACCTACAGAGCAGCCTCTTAAGAACTACCTGAGGTATGCGGAACCCATAGAAAAATGGGAGCTGGATATAAATGGCCAGGGCATTTCTGAACCCAAGGGACCCATAAAACTTCACCCATCATTTTTTTCTACAGGTATTTATTAAGCACTTGTGTGCCATATACTGTGTTAGGTGTTGGGACAAAGAGCTGAACAAGAGTTAATTACTACTATAAAAAGTTTACTTGAAAAAACATGTACAAGTGATTAGAATAAAAAGCAAAAGTTATTTGCTACCAGTAATATCAAGATACTGTGGGAAAAGGTAAGATGAAAAGCATCTCATCTTTCATTTTTTTTTAATAATCATGTAATTAGCACTCCTATGGGGGTAACCAAACAGAAACAGCATCTGGCATATATATATAGGTCTGAAAACAAGCATAACAATTTATTTGATACATCAATAATTCAGACTTGAGCTTTCCAAAAATTTTTGAGTTTCTAAATCATTGTACCTAATTTTTTCATTAATTGGAAATAAATCGCTGCCTGATCTTTTGGACATGAATAGTAGTTTGTGCCTATGGAGGTTGTAGCCTCTGCACACGTGTGATGAAGGAGACAAAGTAGAAAGAGTAGTGCCTGAACAATATATATTTATATATATATATATATTTGTTGTTGTTTTGTTGTTGTTGTAATTGTTTAGTCCTGAAGTCTTAGTCATTAGTCCAGATAAAGGAACTGCTTACAGAGGAAGACGCATATTAGGAAGAAGGAAAATTTGGGGTAAGGGCCCAGACACAACAGTGGAAATATGTGAAATCACAAGCATTACAACGAAGAGCACCAATTATACCACGCACTAAAATGTATGCTGTATTTTCAGATAGAGAGATATCAACATCATATATCACTTCCTAACTTCATACCATAATCTCCTGTAATGCAGCTGCTAACACGATGGTCACATGTTGTGTTTTCTAACTGCATTGTTACACAGAGTTACCAAATTTATGACAGATGACGAAGAGATAGAAATTCAGGATTTTGAACTCA